GGGGGGGTTCGCATTTTTTACTGAATGTATACATAAAATTTTTGTTTTTAATATAACTCTTCATTTACTTAATTTTTGGCATTTTTACTAGTTTTGCACTTTTTTGCATCTTTTACCCAATTTTTTACCGATTTTTTGCCTTTTTTGTTCGGTTTTGCTAGTATAAGGATGATTTTAGCAATCATAGATTAAAAAAGAACTGAAATACTGAGTTTCTCACTTCTCAGTATACAGAATGGAGTCAAAAGTAATCATTCAAAGACCTGCGCGAGACTTTTTTAACCTTCCTTGTGAAACTGCTCCTCAGCAACAGTTCATAGAAAAACCAACAAAAATTTTTGCTGTAAAAAATAATTTAAATCAGTTGGTGGTTTGTTTTAATAAAGAAAGGCGGGGAATTCCAGGACGCTGAATTTCATAGGATCACCGAAATGGCCTGAAATGCGGACTAGCTGGAGACTGTTCCTGGATCATTGCAAAGTTTTCACGCAACCGAACCCGCTGGCAATAATATTCAAGCTACAACTGGTCCGAAATGAAGAATATTGTGAGCTTATTTGCTCATCCATTTTCGGCTTTTTCGGGGAAAGCTTCCGTGGCCCGGGCACACAAGTATTACCTACAAAACGAGTATATCTAAAATTCGCATAATGTACAGAACCCATCAATTATTTTACAAAATACAAATAAAACACTTGATAAGTACCTGCACTTCGCAAGTGCAAATTGGAGCTGGTTTCTCATATATAGAATTTGCACATTATTCGTACACAATATGGACAAATTTGGAGTATTTGAATTTTATACAAGTAATGTACAAGTCGCATTTATAATTATCAGCGTAGATTATGGTAGCTTACAAGTAATAGTAGTAGTGAAACAGGTAGTAGTGAAACGTTGGCAAATAGTACTCTACGGTACCGAGAGATAGAGGCAGAAATACATGATGATAAAAGGGAGAATTGATTTGAAATGTTTCTGTGTGTCATACGATTTCTGTGTTTTATTAGCGTGATTACTGCTCAGTAGCACTAATATACTGTGCGAAAATTCTGGAAAAATGAGCAAAGCGCAAAGAAAAATGAGCATATTTTTATTTAATGAAGCTAACCTGTCTGGGAAGTCGTGGAACCAGGATACGCTATCCCCCTAAGCCGGAACCAGAGGATAGATGTTGTTGTAGTAGTGCTCGCTTTCTTAATAAATTTTTTACAGACGTTTTTTCGCCCTATTTTGCATTTTTTCACTACCTCATTCGCTCGCTTGGTGGTTTGATTAGCTGCTGTTTCATAATTTCGTTCATTCTCGCTTCTGATGGAGTTGGCGACTTCTTCATTCTTCTCTAATTCTGTCTTTTTTGTCCAAATCGTTGCAGTAGTTTAAGTGGATTTTTCCAACAAATTGGCAGCCTCTCCTATTTATACCGGAGAGAAAATACAAAGCTGAAACTTTCATGTGTTCCTAAAAATGATCCGTTAAAAAAAGTTGTTATTGCAGCTGCACAAATTACATCGATGCCGGATACATACCATTCAGCATTTTTCTCGGGCGGAAATTATCGTATCCTGGAAGGAAATTCGTTGCTCAACTGCCTTACTGATGGTTTTTTTTTTTTGAAATTTTGGACTGACTATTGAATTCATAAATTTTTGCACAAAATGACTGGAAGCCTGATATCAAAATATATCTCACATCAGGCTTTATACGCTAGTGTAATCAAAAGATAAATACACTATTCTAATTAAAACAAACAAGGCTTCTTCGTCATTCATTTTGCGAGGGATGGAGGCCTTTGGAAATAGTATCAGGGCTTGCGCATTTTAAAATTAACCGTTCGCTTAGTAAGGCTATCGATGGTTTCCTCTTTCGAGGGCTGATTACAATAAAATGAATGTACTTCCTGACATTATGTCAATACCAATTTAGCGCTGAAACGAATTACGAGTTGTAAAGGGAGTTGCCCTACTGCCGTAATCAAATCGCTGACTTTCGAGTATCAAATTGGCGTTACTTTCATGATGCCGTGCCAGCTAGCCTTAATGGACTGTATACTCATTTTTTTTTAAAACAACCCATGGCTTTTTTTGAAATTTTTATTGATAATTTGCTTTATTAAACCAACAAATTCTGACGTGCATGGCGCAGTGAGGCGCAGCGTATCCCTCATTCAGAGGGCTGGGAGTTCGACTCCGCTATTGGAACGGCCAGTCTTGCTACCGAGACGAATGAACGATTTGTCCACTGGTTTCTGTGATAAGTTGGTATTGATACATGCCATAATGTCAAACCACTGTTATCAGTTTGTTTCTAAGAAACTGATGAATGAGGAAACCATCTACATTCTTGCCACTGAGTTGCTGTTGCACGCATTGCCAACTGTTTCCTTCTCAAGGGTTTCTGCTTCTCATGAGAGGCAGTACAAAAGGGTTTTGACATTCCAAAACGATGAATAAACTCGCGAAAATTGCTAAAAGTGCTTTTTCTGATAAAAATTTTTAAGGATTTCTTTTCCTTCTAACTCTCTTTGCAGCTCAAAAAAGTGCTGGCTCTGTACTCGTAGTACCAGACCGAGCAATTAAGCGTTAACTCTTACGAACGCAGTTGTTGAAAATGGTCGATGAGATATCACACTAAATGAGTGTGTACTTGTTGCAGCATTTAGTACCAATTCACGCTGGCTCGGAGGTAGCGCTATCCTGACCGTCGAGATGCGTTTTGCGGCAAACGATTTTCAAATTCAGATGAGTAAGGTCATACCGGTACAATCGTTGCTCCGAGACGGCGACTTCCGCAAAACGCTCAAGGATATCTACAAAAACGTCAAACCGTAAATTTTTTAAATAAATTAAGTAAGCGATAGGTGCAGAAATTCGTTTAGGAATGGCCCCAAGAACAGCTAAAATGTCTTAGCAAAATACGGGACGGGACGCATTGCCTTAGAGGAAACTTCTGTGAGGATGTTAGAATTACAAGAGCTAAATCCGCAATATTGAGTGGGCAACAAATCCAATTTACACCATGGGTAAAGATTACTCAGCCACTGATCACCACTACCAATCGAAGAGCATATGTTCGGCTTGAGAAAGAGCGTGTGTTCGGCTAGAGGAAGTAGAATATGTCCCGTAAGATATCGAATTATTTGTTATGCCGTACAAGAAGTCTAAATCTTGAGAATACTGAAATGAGAAGGGACAGGGGTATGAGGGAGGGATGAGGGAAAAAGGAAAGGGATATTGTTCTAAGTACCAGTTGACGATTTCCTTCATATTTACGTTAGTGGCATTTTTGACTTCTGTCATTTTTATTCCCACTAATTTCAGTGATCTTTTTCCCTCATTTCCTTCATATTCTGCGATTTATTATTGTTTAAACTATCTTGGATTAGGTCTCCAACCATTGGCTTTAAGTCGCGTTTAGTGTACACTAATCCCCATTCCTTTACTTTCTCAGAATTTCTTTGATGAAAGTCACAGGCGGTAATTTTGAGTTACAATATGAAACAATTAGCATTTTATAGCGATTTCATAATCAAAACGCTGGATGGCGATGTCTACTCCTATAAGAATTTATTATACATATCCTCACCGTACTTCCGAGATTTGCTGAGTTCCGATAGCGTTTCAATGAATCAGCTGACACTCAATCACAGTCGTGAAGCTGTTCTTCAGGTACTCTTATTTATTTTATTCTAAAGCATAAATCACTTTGTCTTGGAACAAATTTTTAATTGAAAAATCTGGATCAGGAAATAATTATTTTATCAAAAAGCGCAAAAAATTAGCTATTACCACTCGATCTGCTTAAAATGGCTACTAATTCACTTCTAATTTATATTCGGGCGTTTTCCAAAAATATGAGCGGCAGTTATATCTGCGACTTCGCCATTTTCTTGCAGAAGGTCGAGGTTTTGCCTTCGCTAATAGGACAAGCAATCCCTCTAAGATTTGAACACTCGTTTCGATGGTAAATTGATACTGACGCTTGCTAGAAAATTGAAATCGCCATCAAATTGTTTGCAACAATGTGCCAGAAGAGGAAGCTTTGGGCTGGTTGTTGTTGGCTCATAGTTCCATATATTCAGCTTGGCCCGTAGTTATGTAAAAATTGCTCTAGATGGTGGTGTGCACTGTCTAATTCACAGTTCCACACACCTAGTTAAAATTCCTAGTGTTCCTGCCCTTGGGGGGAACGAATACGGAGGAAATTTGATAAGACAAGCACATGGATACTGAGGAGGTGATAATTTAGACGCTCTCCTACATGATATTCGGAGTGTTCGAGTCACCAGAAATCGTAAATCCGGATTTAATACCGCAGATGCTGAAATGCGCCAAGCAGTTCCAGTTGCGGATGACACAGTTCGACGACGACATCGGACGAGTGCTCATTTTCCAATTGTTCAAGGTAGCAAATGTGCCATTTGCAATTTCATTCGAAAAAGTGATACTGCCAGCTTTCGACGAGATCACTTTCCTGCACTCTTTGTTTTTTATGCGTTTTTTGCAGCTATGCAATGCAAAAACGCATATTGTCGAGGGGTTGTCTGTGTGTGTGTGTGTCTGTGTGTATGTA